CTCTGTTCCTGCTGAGCTTTATTCTGCTGCACATAGCTCAAACCAAGCTCCAGCTTTTCCCCTCTCTCCCAGGACGTGGAACAGGATTCCAGGGCTCCAGGACTCCAGGATGGAAGCACCCTGCTTCCCATTGGTAAGACTCAACTCTCAGCAGCATTCCTTGCCCATCAGCAGGATCAGAACAATGCTGTGCTGTGCTGCTCCGCAGGGAGCTCTGCATCCTTACCATGATCCAACTTTAATATCCCAGAGCCAACCGTGCAATCCAAGCATCCCTCCCTGGGAATGGCAGCCTTGCTGCTCCTCTGCTGGCCAAGTGCCCTCTTTGTTATTCCTGCATGGACAAACCACAAACCCCATGTGGGATGCACAAAGCAACCTCTGTGCTCCCTTTGGCTCTGGAGCTCCATTAGGATTCACTGCACCGTGCTGGTGTCTTTGGAACTGCCATCAAAGGCAGGGGGCTGCCTAAGGGGCTGGCGGCACAGAGACAAAGAGGTGGGAAAGACCAGCAAAGGGTAAGGAGATGTGATCAGAGGCAGGAACAGGGACAGGAACGGGACCTGAGGCTGGCACTGGGATGCTGAGATTATCTTGGAAGTAAAGACCAGAATAAATGGCCAGAAACAGATCCTTTGGGAAGGTGAATGGTTTATAGGGCAAGAAGAGGAGAGATTCCCAAAAGCTGGAGACATCAGCAGGCACGAAGAACTCCCCATTGACTCCTGAAAGCTCTTCTCAGAGGCTTTGTGGTTCCTGTTGCTTCACAGAGGGGGCTGGCGGTTGGGTTCTGAGTTACTGCTGCTGCTCTCCCAAGCTCCTCATGAGGCTCAACCCAGCCTTGGCAAAGGAGGGAGCTGCTGCTTCAGGTCTTTCCAGATGAGCTTGGTGCAGGAAACGCGGGATCTGCCCAGCCTGGGTTCATCTCATGGATGGGGAGCAGAGCCCTTCCATAGCAAAAGAGTCTGTGGAGTGATGCAGTCCATCGGCAGGGAAAAGGCCTGGGAGCATCACTCGGTTCCAGTTATGCAGCAACCAGGAAGAAAAGCTTCTTGTTTTGTTGGGTTTTCATCATTTTCCTACGATTTAGGAAGTTCTTTTCATCACAGCCTTAAAATCAATCAAAGCAAAGAGCAGACTGAGCCGTGGCCCGGGGTCTGTCCATAGGGAATGTTTCACTTACAGGAAGATCAGTGCAGATAGTTTTACCCAAAGGAACAATCCATTCCATTCCATTCCACCCCCCCCCCTCCCAATCCCCCTTTCTTAAGAAGAGGAAAAGAGAACCTGGAGTACAGGTCAAAAAGGAAAAGGATTGGAATTGAGTGCCAAGAACTTGTATCGTGGTTGTAAATCTCACCTGGAGCACAGAAATAGCACCTTCAAAGAGCTGAAATGGGCTCGAGCCGTGCCGTGATGCTTTACTTATGGACAGGAACTACTGCTGGCTCCTTCCCAGGGCCTTCTGTTCACTGCAGGCTCTTGCAGCTCAGATACAAACAGTTCCCTTCATCCAGAACCCATTCCTGATTTATCCTGAGGGAAGGACATGGCCTGGGAAGAGCTCAGCTCAGTCTCCCCTCGGGCAGGTTCAAGCCATTCCCCTTGCCCTGTCCCTGCATCCCCTGTCCCAAGCCCCTCTCCAGCGTTCCTGGAGCCCCTTTAGGCACTGGAGCTTCTCTAAGGTCTCCCCTTCAGGAGCCTTCTCTTCTCCTCTTCCATGACCCCAGCCATGGGTGCTCCCTGTCGCAGATGCTCGTGGGTGCTGCAGTGCTGGGGCCATGCTGAGCCTTGGAAAACAGGCTTGGAGCTTCCCTGCGTGGTGTGCGGAGCACAAAGGGCTCCTGCTCTGAGTTCTGGAGATGCTCCCATACAAGTGACCTGGCGCTGCTTGCTCCCCTGGCACATTTGGCCTTGCTGGGCTGGGAAGCATCCCAGGCATGTGCAGCAGGAGGGAAGGGGATGGGAGTGAAAGGTTTAAGCACCAAGGAGACAGGAAAGCAAATTCCAAACGCTCTCAGCTTCCAAGTGGGCTCAGCCCTTCATCCTGGTGTGGGGAGACCCGGGATTGGGATAACTCTTCATGCTGGTTTATTCACTTCCTGGTAAACCCTGCCTGGTGCTGAGAGCAATTCCCACTGGAAGAAGCCTTTGCAAAGGATCCCGCTTTTCCAGGAGTGTTTGAGGCTTTGAAACCTTGGAACCTTTGGAAAGGATTCCAAGGATTTCGATGACGTGGGGGTGTTCCGGGGAAAGCACAAAGCCGTTCCCAAGCTGCTCCCAGCACCACCAATTCCTCCCCATTCCCTGGGGCAGTCGCGCACTGGGATGCAGGCGGTTCCCATGCAGCCGCCCTCCCCGCTAAGAGACTCCAGAGAATCAGTGCAAGTGTGGCTGAATCCATTTATTATTGCAGTTTGTAGGGATTTTAGGGGGGGAAAGGCAAAAAAGAGCAAAGTTTCTACCCAGTCCTTTCCAATGTGGCTCAGTTGAGAAAAGAAGGGTGGGAATGAAGTTCAGTGCCTCCTCCCCTGCTTGTATGGCTAAACAGTGTCTCTAAGTGGGATCTGTCAAGGAAACAGGCTCAACCCACCTCTCCCTCCCTCTGGAATAGTCCCCTCCATCATTCCCAGCCATTCCCATGCTCAAGGAGGGAAGAAGCAGCAGCACGATGTGACTGGCATGTTTGCATCCACATGCCACTCTGGCTCGTTGCTGGCTTTTTGTCTCTAATCCCAACCGTGGGATTGACAGAGGGGAAAACTATGGTGAACAGCAAATAAAACAGAATCCAAAGAGGGCAGAATTCCAGGTGGGAGAAGAGGGGAGAGGTTCCCATCCTTTCCATCTGTGCAGCATCTCAGGTCAGAGGCTCCTAATGTAGGAATGATGGGAGCATCGCATCGTGTGCAGAAGCCTCTAGGCTGGCTCTGGTGCATCCCTGGGGCTCCCGGATTGAAGTGTTCCCAGTTTGCTCCTCAGACCCAGCTGGATCCGGGCATCTGCCTGGGGAAGAATTCCACCATTCCAGGTGAATTTGGGATGGAATGAGAACAGTGTAAAAATCGCCTGTGGGGAAAAACCAGCATCAGGCTTCTGGAAGGGGGCAGTTGGGAAGAGGAAATGTTTTCTCAGGAGAGTTTTAGGGAAAAATGCACATTTTATAGAATACAAAAATATTCCCAAGTGAAAAATAGACGTTTTCTACTCTGAGAACTCCTGGTTTTTCCTTCCTAAACGATTCCTTTGCCCTGGGCTCTGTCATAGATGATGCTTTCCAAGAGGGAACGTTTCCAATCGATTTGGGAAATGGGAAGCCCTCACAAGATCCTACTCAGCTGAGATGGGGAGCAGGGAGGGAGATGGATCAGATCTGGGATCTTGTTTGGAAACCAGTCCTAAATCCCCTCTTGTGCTTGCCTGATGGGGTTGGAACTGGAGGAGCTCTAAGGTGCCTTCACCCCAACCCATCGCATGGTTCTGATTCCATTGTTATCACCGTGCTGCTTAAGACAGGCTTAAGGTTATTTCGGATGAGGAGCAGGGGGATTTCCATGCTTCCTGCTGACCCAGTCCATGGAGCAGTCACAACCCACAGCCCTCCCAGCCCAGCGCTCTCCAAGCCTCCAGGCTTGGATGTGCCACATCTGGAAAACATCTGCATGTTTCTCTTGCTCTCCCCATCAGAGCTGAAGGGCTTTATCAGAGAGGCTCTTTTTCACTCTCTTTTAAGGATTATGGGCTTTCCTCTGATGCATCCAAATGGATCCTTCAAGTAAGGAAAACAATTGGGAAGGAAGCAAACTGCTGGCTAAGGGGCAGGTCCAACCTGCAACACGCAGTGCTGTGACAAGGGTGAGCAGGCATCAAGTGATGGATTGTGGCAAGGACCAGATCTGAGCTTTGTCACTTGTGAGGCCTTCAGGAAGCACCAGCAGTGATTCCGGAAGTGATCCCAACAGGAAGGAGGGAGGAGCAGCAGGAACAGACCCCCTCAGCAATGCTTTCACACCAGCACCGTGAGCCTGAGGAGTGAAGACCAGCCCCAAGTGAGCAACCGAGGTCCTTCCCGAGGGAGGTCAACCAGGAGCAGCATCACCAGCACTGACCAGGGGGGTCAATGTTGTCCTGGGTTGTTTGCAGGGCAGGGAAGGGGATTGGGATCCTTTCGTTAGAAAACGAGGAGCAAAGGTTGGGCTTTGAGACCTGGGGGAGGCTTCACCTCCTCCTTTCCTCGTCTTTCTGCTTCCAGGCCTGAAAACTGAGCCGCCAAGTGCTTGGCATGGCCAGAGGAGGTACCTGAGCTCTCTGACGGGCTCAGCTTTCACCTCCCTGGGCCTGATTCTGCTCTTAGGGGCTATCTGTTGCAGAAACCAAGCCTGTGCATGCGTGAGGACAGAACCCAAGCTACAGAATACTCTGGGCTCCAGTGCACAACCCCGATGTTTCCAGTTCCCCTCAAAGCAAAGGCAAAAGAAGAAATGAGCATGGAAAAGCCAGAAAACACCCCCTAAAGAACCCGGATGGGCCAGCTCATAGATTCCAGGCTTTCATCCTCGGTTTGCATGGAAAGGAAGACATCGAGCTGCTAACTCCCATTGCAGGGGGGTCTGGGAAGCATCAAGGGAGAGGCAGGCTTGGGCTGAACGCAGGTTGGATGCACAAGAGCAAGAGCTGCCGAGCCCAGGAGGTTACAGAAGGGACCTGAGCTTCCAGGCATCTTCAAGACAGTTCCTGGCTGATGGGGGTTTCCTGGGATGGGCACCTTTGGTTTGGTCCCTTCCTTCCAGGAGCACAGGGAGGGAGCAAGGAGCTGCAATGCTCAGGAGTCAGAGGAGCAAAGCCAAGGCTCAACCAGCGCAAGAGCATCTCCGTGCCCCTGTGCTCCCAGCGCTGCTCCGGGCATGCGGGGCCATTCCCTAGGGACTCGCTTCTGCCCTCCAGGCACGGCAGGAGCCGGGGGCTTGCAGTGCAAAGGGGGCTCTTTGAGAAAGGAGGTATGAAACTGGCAGTGAATTTATTGGAACACGGGGCGGTTGCAACCAGGGGATGCGGCGGAGGGGAGGAAGGGGTCAAGCTTTGAGAAGCGGGTTTGAGGGGGGAACAGGCACCTTTTCACTCTTGGAACACTGTCAATAATAATAATTATAATAATAATAATAATTAAAAACCCAAAGGACCAAAGGGCCTCCCCTGCCCCTCCCTCCCCCCGGCGCTTGCCTTCACATCATGCTCTTCCTGTACTGTGAGCTCTGTCTGCCCCGCGAGTCCGAGTGCTGCAGCTCCAGCTCTTTGTACAGGTCCCTCAGCTCCCTGATCTCCTGCAGCACCCTCTTGGCCTGGCTCCACGTGGAGGAAGCCTCCCCCAGCAACCTCTCCGATTCCTGCAGGATCCTGTCCGAGTCCGACTTGGAGGAGGAGGAGGAGGAAGAGGAGGAGGTGGTGGTGGTGGTGCTGGTGCCGGAATCCTTGGGCTTTCTCTTGCCTTCCCCGTAGCCCTTCACCTCCGTCAGCAGTTCCTGAGTTTTTTCCAGTTTCAGTGCAACCAATTCCTGCAGCCGGGACAACTGCTCGGGTTCCGCGGAGCCAAAGGGAGCCTCCAGCCCCTTCCTCGGCGCCCGCTGGGAGGCAGAGTCCCTCCGGGACAGGATTTCTTCCATGGAGGCACATTTGTTCTTCTCGGAATGCGACAGCTTTTTGGGGACCTGCGGGGTGTACACGGGGCCCTTGTCCACGGCCTCGCTGCGCGGCCCCGCTCGCTCCCACGCGCTCCCATCCCGCCGCGGCAGGCTCCCTGTCCGGCCCTTCTCCAACGCCGCCGTGTCCTGGGAGCCGGAGCGGCGCCGGCCGGCACTGAGATGCGCCATGGACTTGTCCAGGTCCACGCGGAAGCTCCCTTCGCAGGAGCTGTGGTCCTCGGGAGAGGCGTCCTCCTCCTGGATCAGGTCGAGGGTCAGCATCCCATCGGAGGTTGAGGTAGATGCCTGCAGGAGCAAGGAAGAGCTGGTTTGGAGCAGGGATACGCACGGGTTGGGTCTGTTACACAGAGGATGCGCATCGCCTGCACCGGGATGCAAAGTGGGATTGGGAATACTGGGGTGAGCTAGTACAGAGCCCCATGTGTGTTCTAGCTGAATGGCCTTGGATGAGCCATCTCTATACCTGAGCGGGATGGCTCCTGAAGGAGCATCTCATTGGAAACCAGGAAAAGGTGCCAGTGGTGCGCACAGTGCACTGGTCCACAGGAGGACCCTTAGCACAACGCTGGGCTCAGGACAGAGCTCACACCCCAGCTCTTGTCGAGCTTCCCTACAACCACAATGGGAATTCCACCCAAGGAGGTGCCGGGGATAGGGGGTACCTACCACAGCCATGAGGTGTCCCCGGGTCGGAGGGCGTCGGGAATGCTGGATCTTGGCTCTGTCCCGCGTTGGGTGGGCGAGGAAACTGTCCTCTTCCACAGTGACCTGCGGGGGACAAGGATGGGAGCATCCAGGGCTGCTCCTGGTGCCTGTTCCATCGTGTTGTGCGCTGGCTTGAAGGGACCCGAGAGCCCACCCAGCTCCAATCCCTGTGTCCAAAGCCCCTCTCCAGGCTTCCTGTAGCCCCTTAAGGCACTGGAGCTGCTCTGAGGTCTCCGCTAGGCCTCGAGTTCACCTCTCAGAGGATGAAGGGTTTTGTGGAGCCAAATCCCATCCCTTATTTCATTTATTCCTGCAGGATTCCCTTTCCCTGCGACCAGGCCGTGTGCTGGGGCTGAACCTCTCCCACATCCCTCTGGGCCAGCATCCTCCACACTGCTCCCAGGGGCCACCGCTGGCCCTGGCCTCACTGGTCCATGCTCTTACAAGGATGCCCATGCAGCAATTTGCAGGGAATGGGGTGTGGGAAGCTCAGAAGAGCCTCAGGAATGTTTCCCTATTGCCTCCCTGCTGTGCTTTGATGGGATCAGACCTCCTGAAGCCGTTCCTGATCATTACCTGCTGGATGTGTAAGGACTGGGGTGCAGTCTCTCCTGGGAGCACATTACACCCTGTTCCTGAGCTGCCTCCTGCTCTAGACCCTTTCCTCTGCTCAGACCTGACTTTTCCTTCACTACAGGCCTTTCTGTTGGCATCCCGGAGGACAAACAGCATCCGGGAGGACAAACAGCATCCGGGAGGACAAACAGCATCCGGGAGGACAAACAGCATCCGGGAGGACAAACAGCATCCCAGAGGACAAACAGCATCCGGGAGGACAAACAGCATTCGGGAGGACAAACAGCATCCCGGAGGACAAACAGCATCCGGGAGGACAAACAGCATCCGGGAGGACAAACAGCATCCGGGAGGACAAACAGCATCCGGGAGGACAAACAGCATCCCGGAGGACAAACACGGGAGGACAAACAGCATCCGGGAGGACAAACAGCATCCCAGAGGACAAACAGCATCCGGGAGGACAAACAGCATCCGGGAGGACAAACAGCATCCGGGAGGACAAACAGCATCCCAGAGGACAAACAGCATCCCGGAGGACAAACAGCATCCGGGAGGACAAACAGCATCCGGGAGGACAAACAGCATCCCAGAGGACAAACAGCATCCGGGAGGACAAACAGCATCCCGGGAGGACAAACAGCATCCCGGAGGAGAAACAGCATCCAGGAGGACAAACAGCATCCCGGAGGACAAACAGCATTCGGGAGGACAAACAGCATCCCGGGAGGACAAACAGCATCCCGGAGGAGAAACAGCATCCAGGAGGACAAACAGCATCCCGGAGGACAAACAGCATCCCGGAGGACAAACAGCATCCCGAAGGACAAACAGCATCCCGGAGGACAAACAGCATCCGGGAGGACAAACAGCATCCCAGAGGACAAACAGCATCCCAGAGGACAAACAGCATTCGGGAGGACAAACAGCATCCCGGGAGGACAAACAGCATCCAGGAGGACAAACAGCATCCCGGAGGACAAACAGCATCCCGGAGGACAAACAGCATCCCGAAGGACAAACAGCATCCCGGAGGACAAACAGCATCCGGGAGGACAAACAGCATCCGGGAGGACAAACAGCATCCGGGAGGACAAACAGCATCCCGGAGGACAAACAGCATCCCGGAGGACAAACAGCATCCCGAAGGACAAACAGCATCCCGGAGGACAAACAGCATCCCGGAGGACAAACAGCATCCCGAAGGACAAACAGCATCCCGGAGGACAAACAGCATCCCGGAGGACAAACAGCATCCCGGAGGACAAACAGCATCCCAGGAGGACAAACAGCATCCGGGAGGACAAACAGCATCCTGGCTGTGGCCTCCTGGACCACAGGGAGCAACACAGACCTGAGGCAAACCTCAGGCTCCTCCTGGTGCGGTCCCACAGGGCCATGATGCTCATCCCTTCCTTTGGAGCACCAGCCTTGTCCTGACGGCAATGCATGTGCCACACAGGGATGGGGAAGTGGGATTCAGCATTCCTGGCTTGATCCTTGACCAGTAGGGAAGGATCTGCATGCACATGGTCCTGTTCTTCACCCCAGCCTGTGCCTTGGGTAGGTGGGATGCCCACACGGTGCCATGAGGGTGCTCTAGGGGATATGTTGGGTTTCCCTCAATTCCCTCATTCAGTGCCACTGCTTAAAGCTTCTGGGCAAACATGAGCAGGGGATGGGAGGGAAAAAAGACTCTCCAAAGCCTTGGGAATCCATTCCAGGCACATTCCCACCATCCAAAGTGAAGGCATCGCAGTGGGGCCGGGGGAGCCTGGGCAGCTGCAGTCAGTGCAGGGAGGATCCAGCTACCCCTGCACCCATCCCATCGGTGCTGCGTCAGAGGGCATAAACCCCAATGGCTCTGCACCCGTTCCCAAGAGGAGCTGGGGAGGGGAGGAGCTGCTCCAGCAGCCCCAGGTCCTGAGCCCAGGTCAGAGCTGAGGCAAGCCCAGGGTGCAGGACCCCAGCGCCCTGCTCACCTCGTCCAGGATGCGGTTCTTCGCCCGGGTGATGGCAGAGTTGAGGGCGTTGATCCAGGATTCCTTCTCCTCGGGACTCACAGCCAGGAAGATCAGATTTGGGGCCTGCAAAAGAGGGAGCCGAGCTCAGCGCTGGCGCCTCAGGCTGCAGGGATGCTTCCACACTGTCCCTGCCCACAGGGAAGCTGCACTGGGAGGTGCAGAGCAGAGCTGAGCCCTGCATGCGGGCTCTGGGGCAGAGCATGGCACGGCTCCTGCCAGCACCACAATCCACTTCCCCATGGCTGCAGTTCCTCCTTCCCCTCCTTCCTGCCCACACAGAGCCTGGAATTGGCCCCATCAGATGCCCCATCAGACGATGAAGCAGCATCCCATGAGCCTGAGCTGGTGGCACCCCTGGCTTGGATGGAGGCTGCACGCTTGGGTTCCCATCCTCTGATGCACCCAGAGCTAAGGTCACCCAATGACAGAACAGGGTGGAAGGGGCCTTAAAGCCCCTCCAGCTCCAGCCCCTGCGATGAGCAGGGACAGCTTCCACGGGGGCAGCTTGCTCAGAGCCACATCCTTAGGGCTGGACCAGGGTAAAGGCTGGCTCCAGAGAGCCTGCAGTCAGCTCTGGCTGCAGCCCATGGGAAGCCCTGTTCCAGGGTAGCAGTGTCCCGGAGCTTTCCCCTGGGAAAAGCATACTCCTGGGATCAATTCCCATGCCAAATCCAGGCAGCAAAGCCCGGGCCCATCAGCATCCCTGATGGAAGAACAGAGGAGCACACTCAGCTAAACCACAGCTGCCTGCTTCAACAGGGAAATGGCTTTGCCCTTGCTCCTGGCACATGCTCCAGCACCTTTCCTTTCCCAATGCTGGAATGCTCCCAGGGAAGGGGCTCCAGTGCTAAATACTCAGGACCCCAGAGGCTGCCCCAGCACAAACCCTGGTGCTGGGAGCCCTGCTGTGGGCAGGTAGCCTGGACACAGCTTGTCCTGCACCAAGAGCATCCTGCACCAAGAGCATCCTGGTGGGGCTGGGAGCAGCACGCACCGTGTTGCCGGGCTGCCTGCAGTGGGCCAGGGTGAACTTGCTGTGGTTCTTCTTGCTTCTGCTTTTGGACTTCCGGAGCTCTTCACACTTCTCATAATCGCTCAGGTCGAACACCTCCTGCATGGTCTTCTCATCCTTCACCTGCAGAACAGCAGAGCCACCGTGAGAGCCCTGCAGCTAGCAGGGGGAGCTGCTGGGAACGGGGCAGGATGGGTGCCGGTGCCTCCCCTGAACCCGGTGCTGAGGACACCGATGCAGCAATGGCACCGTTACTGGGGAGTGCCACTCGTGGCTTTAGGGAGGAGCAGAGGAGATTGGCACCGTGGCAGCTCTGAACCTGATGGAACCAGGGGGTATAATGCGGGTAACTGGGAAATCCCAGTCTCCCATGCTTGCTGCAGGTTCCTTTGGGATTTCACTGCCTTTCCCACCCGCAAAGTTACCAGGGCAAGGAGGAGGGATCAAACACAGCACTGATGCTGGTGGACCCTCAGAACGAGCAAGCTGGGTACCAGGATGCTGGGAGGAGCAGGGCTTGGACCACACCAGTGCTCGCAGCTCCTCTGGAGCCAGCCCAATGGGAGCCTTGAGGACGAAGCTCTGCATTGCTCTGCTTCACGCGGTCCATCCCTGCAGCCTGTGCTCAGGGCTGGGGCAGGGGGTGAAGCGCAGCCAGCACATCCCTGCCCTGTGCTGCGCTCCCCTCGCCAAGGGGCTCCGGGCAGAATTCCCACATCCCGGCGGTGCTTTGGTCCCATCCAGACCTGCTTTCATGGAAGGTTTCAAGGGCTGGGCCTTCCCTCATGGAAGCTCTTCTTGGTTGTCCTTCAGAGGGACATTGAGGGGCTGTTTGCAGCTCCCCATTCCCAGACACATTCCGTATGAGCCATGGTGTGACGGGAACACTGCAGGGATGGATACCGCAGGGATGGATACCGCAGGGATGGATACCGCAGGGATGGATACCACAAGGATGGGTACCACAGGGATGGATACCGCAGGGATGGATACCGCAGGGATGGATACCGCAGGGATGGATACCACAAGGATGGGTACCGCAGGGATGGATACCACAGGGATGGATACCGCAGGGATGGATACCGCAGGGCCACAGAGCCCGCCTGTAGGAGTTCCCCAGGGGTTTTCCAATAGGATTTAAGCACAGATGCTGGCTAAGGCGCTGTAACCAGCTTCTGAGGCACAGGGAAACTGAGCAGCAGGACTCGCACAGACACTGCCGGTCCCGCTCCATCCTTTTGCCTTCTATCCCCCTCTCTGCCTCCAAGAATCGGGAAGCAGCCACCACACACAGATATCCCTGAAGGCCCAGGAGCCGCTTTCTGTTCAGGTATGGAAGTGGCCCTCGCCGCTGATGTCCATCCCCATGGAAGGGAAACTGAGGCACGGGGATGGACCCCAAAGTGTCCCCATCACCTAAACCTGAGCCCGGGGCTCTCACTGCTCTGCTGGGCTGTGCCACAGCGCAGGGCCAGGAGAGGAGCTGGGTTCCTCACATCCCAGCAGGACCCAGGCACGGCAGCGCTCCCTGTGCCGTGGGATGCGGTGATGCTCTCCCATCGGATCACAAACATGGCCCTCGGGTACCTCCCCTCCCTGGGTTGTCACGTTTCTGTCCAGCCTTGCGCCTCCTTGTGCTGCCCAAGCTCTGTTTCCTCCATCCCAAACCCCTCTGTGATGCCAGGACATTAAACTGGGCTCTGCCCCATCCCCTTCTGCTTCCTGCCCCTCCGGAGCCGGTGCCGCACACACACATGCACGGATCCCTGCCTTATTCCAGTGGGATTTCAGCAGAGCCCTGCCGGAGCCTCTGTCCCTCGCTATGGTGGAAGTGCTCAGCTTGAGGAAGCGGAACTCCCTCCGCACTGCAGGGACCACGCTGCAGATGCCATCCCCACGTTCACTTTATGGAGTCTGCAGGTTCCTGCTTCCCCCCCGAGCCACGCTGTGAGCTCCGGGACATCCCAGGGATGCGTCACGCTCGGTGTCGTGTGATCCCTGCCCCTTCCCCATCCGCTTCCAGCGTTTCCCACTGCAGCAGGAGCTGCCTGGGCCAAACAGCTCCAAGGAAAGCGCAGAGCTCAGGCTGAGGAACAGAGCCCTGGCCTGGATCACTGCACAGGGAGAGCTGCCCCAGAGCTCAGCTCAGTCTCCCCTCGGGCAGGTTCAAGCCATTCCCCTTGCCCTGTCCCTGCATCCCTTGTCCCAAGCCCCTCTCCAGGTTCCCTGCAGCCCCTTTAGGCACTGGAGCTGCTCTGAGCTCTCCCCTTCAGGAGCCTTCTCTTCTCCAGGCTGCCCCAGCCCAGCTCTCTCAGCCTGGCTCCTATGGGAGCTGCCCCATCCCTCACAGCATCCCCGTGCCTGGGGCTGCACCCAGAGGGGCATCACCTCAGTACCACATCCACACACACAGAGCAGCGCAGCGCACGCAGGGTCCATGGGTGCGGGCTCCAGACACACACGGAGCCCCTCATGCAGAGCACAGCAGCGGCTGCCGGCGCTGCACACACGAGGAGTGGGAGCCCTTCAGTGCTCTTGTGCCAACTGAGCCCTGCTGCTGGCAGCGAACAAGAAGAGGCTTCAGGGAGCGTTTCCTCCTTCCCAGCTCCCCATCCCGGGGCCCGATCCTGCTGCTGCCCAGCCCTGGGCTTCCTAAGGGGAAGTGAGGACCCGGCCGTGTCCGTGCCTGCGGTCCCCAAGTGCAAAGCAGGAACAAAGGGGAACAATGACCAGAAGCTTGCAGGAGGGAGGGAGCGGGCCTGGAGGAGACCGGGAATGCAACAGGAGCCTGAGGAGGTTTCCCCGTGCTCCAGCACAGCTTGGCTGGGCCTTCCTGCCCTGGGTGCTTTGCTTGGCTGATAACCAGCAGGAATCAGTGTGGATATTGATGGGATATTGGCACTCTGGGAGCTGCCTTTTGGGATCCCATCCCCATTCCCGACTGGAGCTCAGCTCCGAGCACTTCTGCAGCACCACTGCCTGCCCCATTCCCAGGGGATTCCAAGGGTCTGACAGGCAATTCCCTTCCTCGGCGCCTGGTTCCGCAGGCAGGGGAGCACTCTGCGCCATCCATGGGTGCTGAAGCCCCGTCTGCCCCGGAGCAGGCACCCACACGCGTGCTCCCAGCCACGGGTGCCCAGCACCGGAGCCCCTCGCAGAGGTCCCCTCTGCCACCACGGCGCTGCCAGAGCAGGGCAGGAGCGGGCTCATGGTGCTCGCACACGTCCGGCCCTCGGCTGCTGCAGAGGAACTTGGGGGGGGTCCCCCCATAAACAGCTCCAGGCCCCATGGGGAGAATCCGAGCAGCGCAGCTGCGAGAGAGGCAGGGATGGACACAGAGACCTCCCTTGAGGAACCTGGGGTCCAGCGTGGGAGGGGATGAGGGGAGCTTAAAGCTCATCTGCAGCCATGGCAGGGACCCCTTCCACTGGAGCAGGATGCTCCAAGCCCCTGTGTCCAACCTGGCCTTGAGCACTGCCAGGGATGGGGCAGCCACAGCTTCTCTGGGCACCCTGTGCCAGCGCCTCAGCACCCTCACAGGGAAGAGCTTCTGCCTCAGAGCTCAGCTCAGTCTCCCCTCGGGCAGGTTCAAGCCATTCCCCTTGCCCTGTCCCTGCATCCCTTGTCCCAAGCCCCTCTCCAGGTTTCCTGCAGCCCCTTCAGGGCCTGCGCATCCTCCCTGGTGCTGGTTCCTGTGGGAACTCCCTCCCTTCCACAGCCTCTCCTGCTCCTTAGCCAAGCTCTTGCTCTCAGTTGGTTCTCCAGGGTTCAGACACTCGGGGAACCAGAGGGAGCCATCAGCGCCCACCCATCAGCACCGGCACATCCCGATGGAACCGGCGCCCTTCCAGCTGCTGACTGCGGGTGGGCAGGAGCTTGGGAAAGGCTCTTGTTTTCCCAGGCAAGACCCAGGGTACTTCCCATCAAAGGGAGGCTGCCGGGGGTGGCTTTGTGCCGCACGGCACAAGTCTGGGATGCAGATGGAGGGTCCCGGAGGATCCTCCGGTGCTGAGAGCCCCAGTGCCTTGCTCTGCCCTCGCTTCTCCCTCCATCCACCCACATGGATCCTGGCCCTGCCCAGTGGTGCCGGGGGACACCCATGGGACACACACCCCTGAGGGGTTCCTGTGTGTGGGGCTGAGTCCTCCCCACCCAACCTCCTGCCAGCCCAGGGGTGGATCTCAGCTCCGTTCAGCACCATCCAGCCCCATCCCAACGCTGCACCTTCCTGAAGCATCCCTAAAGCATCCTGCTGAGGTCTGCCCAGCCTGCACTGACTTCACCATTACCTGCTCCAGCTGATTCCCAGTCCCTTCCCAGCACTTCCACACAGGCTGCTCTGAGCAGGCGGTCCCTTATCACAGCATCATGGAATGATTTGGGTTGGAAGGGACCTTCAGATCATCTCATTCCACCTCCATCACCTGGACTTGGTCATGGGTGCTTCTTTTCCAGCTCCTGGCTCCACCAGCACCAGCTCCAAACCAGTTTCTGCCCCTAAGCCTCCACAGCCTCCAAGAGCATTCCCAGCCTGCAGACAACGGTTATTCCCTACACCTGTGTGTGCCTCCGGTTCTGGAGCACGCCAGAGGGGAACGGGAATGAGCTGTGGAATGCCAGCCCCCAGCTGAGCACAGGGGCTCTCCCATCCCCTGCCCCAGCTGCGCTTTGCCACGTCCCGGCATTCACTCACGCTCTGGATCCTGTTATCCCTCCCCATCCCAAACTGGGGCCGGCAGCCGCGCATCCGGACAACCGGGAATCACCCCCGCTTCCAGGGGGAACCCCCCCCCGCCTGCTCCTTTTCCCTGTCCTGACTCCCGGCTGCCCCTGTGCCTCTCCTGGCGCTAGCGATGAGCTCCACAGGGAGATGGATGGGAGGGAGGGACGCGGGGATTCCTTCCCGATGGATTCCTGCAGGCAGGGCCAGCCGGACGGATCCCAGCCGGCAGCTCAGCCCGGCGCTCACATCCAATTAGGGCTAATGGGAACACCGCGTTAAATCCCAGTCCTGGCCGGAGCGCGGCGGGGGAGGAGAAGGGGGAATGTTCTTCAACAAGGGGTTGAATCCATCGTTAAGAGTCCCCCCAAAGGCCTCGGGGAGGGGGAAACACGAGAGAAGGGACCCGTGAATGCCTCGATCCCAGCCGGGAGGCGACGGCTCCTTCCTAACGGAGCAGAGCAGCGGCTGGGAACTTAATGCCTGCGGACAGGCACAGACGGGAGCTGCCGCTTCCACGGAGGCTTGAACCCTTCCTACGGGAATCCTCCCATGCGGGAGCGCGTCCCCAGGGCAACCCGGGCACCTCCCGCATCCCGCTCGGCGCTGGGGCCGCTTTGCACCCGCAGAAGGCCGGGGGGAAGCGCGGGGCCGAGCCTACCTCCTTGTCCGCGATGTGGAGCTGGTCCCCCTTCAGCACCGCGTACCGGGGCTTCCACAGCTCCCGGAAGATCCCTTTCCCGCAGTATTTCCGCACCCACCCGACCTTCTCCGGCGGCGCGGGCGGCTGGGTCCCATCCTGCTGCCCCTGCCACGGACACACACGGGGGGGAGAGCGGTCACATCCCTGCCTTCATACCCTGACACCCCCCCTCCCAACCCAACTTCGGCCTCGGCTCCCTCCGGCCCCTTCTCTGCACCCAAAGTGGGAGCCGGGGCCTCGGCTGCATCCTCTCGCCCTGGGCTTTTCCTGCCGCGGACATGGAGCGACAACAGGGATACGGGGAGGACAAGACAGGGTTTCCCTCCGTGCCTTATATAAGGCCGTTGTGCTGGATCCAGCTCATCCACGGTGCGTTTGCCCGTGGAAAGAGGAAGAGGAGGAGAATTCCAACGGGCTCTTTTGGGGGTTACTGCAGGGAAAAATGCAGCTTTGAGCCTTTTATAGGCACGATCCATCCTGGAGGTGGGATCTGGGGGGCTTGTGCCTGAGGGCTCTCCATGAGCGGGGCCGAGGTCTGTGGGCACAGCGCACACGGACCCACGGTGCGGAGCAGGCAACGCGGAGATGCGATCCCAAAGGGAAACTGCTCCGCACCCCCAGCAAACAGCATCCCCCGCTGGATCCAAGAGGAAGGAGAGGCCCTGGAGACCGGGGGCTGCCTTTGGGTTTGTTTCCATCTGGTTGGGGTTTGGGGGGGGGGGGGGTCGCAAGGCAAAGGGAGCGGAGGTAAAGGGAACCACAGCCCTCCCCCCCCCCCGCCGAGCCTCCCCCATCGCATCCCCATGGACTCACCCTCTTGGCAGGGTTGGTTTTCTTCATCATTCCTCGGTGCTCCGCGCTGGAGGGCGATGGAGCGGGGCGGGGGGGGGGGGATGCGGACAGGGGCCTCCCCTTGGCTGGGCAGCGCAGAGGGCAAGGCCTCGGTGGGCGCAGCGGTTACAGCAGCTCCGCGGGCACAGGCAGGGGGGCTCGGGTCCCCAGCGCGTCCTCAGCCATGGAGCCCGAGCGGCCCCCCCCCGGCCCCCCCAGCGCCACCATCGCGCAGCTCCGCCGGGCTCGCACTGCGCGGCCCGGGGCTCCCGAGCTCCATCTATAGCCCTGCGCGGGTGACGTCTGGGCTGCACCGCGCGGGGCCAGCGCAGAGCCCCGGCCTCGATGCTCTTTGTCTGCGCCCAGCGCACGCGAGGGGTCAGCGGGGCAGCGCCGGGCGCGACTGCACGGGGGGGGGCCAGAGCTGTGACCCATGGGTGCCCTGAGCTGTGATCCGTGGGTGTCCATGGGAGCCCTGAGCTGTGATCCATGGGTGTCCATGGGTGCCCTGAACTGTGATCCATGGGTGTCCTATTAGCTGTGATCCATGGGTGCCCTGCGCTGTGATCCATGGGTGTCCATGGGTGCCCTCACTGTGATCCATGGGTGTCCATGGGTGCCCTGCAGCATGATCCATGGGTGCCCTCAGCTGCGATCCATGGGTGTCCATGGGTGCCCTGCAGCGTGATCCATGGGTACCCATGGGTGCCCTGAGCTGTGACCCATAGGTGTCCATGGGTGCCCTGCACCGTAATCCATGGGTGTCCTAAGCTGTGACCCACGGGTACCCTGCACCATGATCCATGGGTGTCCATGGGTGCCCTGCACCAAAATCCATGGGTATCCATGGGTGCCCTGAGTTGTGATCCATGGGTGTCCCTGGGTGCCCTGAGCTGTGATCCATGGGTGCCCTGTGTTGTGTGCCCAGAGCATGTCCCGGCTCCATGACCCATGTGTGCCCTGCTCCATGACCCATGTGTGCCCTGCTCCATGACCCACGTGTGCCCTGCTCCATGTCCCGTGTGTGCCCTGCTCCATGTCCCACGTGTGCCCTGCTCCATGTCCCACGTGTGCCCTGCTCCATGTCCCACGTGTGCCCTGCTCCATGTCCCGTGTGTGCCCTGCTCCATGTCCCGTGTGTGCCCTGCTCCATGTCCCATGTGTGCCCTGCTCCATGTCCCACGTGTGCCCTGCTCCATGTCCCACGTGTGCCCTGCTCCATGTCCCACGTGTGCCCTGCTCCATGTCCCACGTGTGCCCTGCTCCATGTCCCATGTGTGCCCTGCTCCATGACCCATGTGTGCCCTGCTCCATGTCCCATGTGTGCCCTGCTCCATGTCCCACGTGTGCCCTGCTCCATGACCCACGTGTGCCCTGCTCCATGTCCCACGTGTGCCCTGCTCCATGACCCACGTGTGCCCTGCTCCATGTCCCGTGTGTGCCCTGCTCCATGACCCATGTGTGCCCTGCTCCATGTCCCATGTGTGCCCTGCTCCATGTCCCGTGTGTGCCCTGCTCCATGTCCCATGTGTGCCCTGCTCCATGTCCCATGTGTGCCCTGCTCCATGACCCACGTGTGCCCTGCTCCATGACCCACGTGTGCCCTGCTCCATGTCCCACGTGTGCCCTGCTCCATGTCCCATGTGTGCCCTGCTCCATGTCCCACGTGTGCCCTGCTCCATGTCCCACGTGTGCCCTGCTCCATGTCCAATGTGTGTCCTGCTCCATGTCCCATGTGTGCCCTGCTCCATGTCCAATGTGTGTCCTGCTCCATGTCCCATGTGTGTCCTGCTCCATGTCCCATGTGTGTCCTGCTCCATGACCCATGTGTGCCCTGCTCCATGTCCCGTGTGTGCCCTGCTCCATGTCCCATGTGTGCCCTGCTCCATGTCCCGTGTGTGCCCTGCTCCATGACCCATGTGTGCCCTGCTCCATGACCCACGTGTGCCCTGCTCCATGTCCCGTGTGTGCCCTGCTCCGTGTCCCATGTGTGCCCTGCTCCGTGTCCCGGGTGTGCCCTGCTCCTCCGTGTGCCCTGCTCCATGTCCCATGTGTGCCCTGCTCCATGTCCCATGTGTGCCCTGCTCCGTGTCCCGTGTGTGCCCTGCTCCATGTCCCGTGTGTGTCCTGCTCCATGTCCCGTGTGTGCCCTGCTCCATGACCCACGTGTGCCCTACTCCATGACCCACGTGTGCCCTGCTCCATGTCCCGTGTGTGCCCTGCTCCATGTCCCGTGTGTGCCCTGCTCCATGTCCCACGTGTGCCCTGCTCCATGTCCCACGTGTGCCCTGCTCCATGTCCCGTGTGTGCCCTGCTCCATGTCCCGTGTGCCCTGCTCCATGTGCCCTGCTCCATGTCCCATGTGTGCCCTGCTCCATGTCCCATGTGTGCCCTGCTCCATGTCCCACGTGTGCCCTGCTCCATGTCCCAGTGTGCCCTGCTCCATGCCCATGTGTGCCCTGCTCCATGTCCCATGTGTGCCCTGCTCCATGTCCCATGTGTGCCCTGCTCCATGTCCCATGTGTGCCCTGCTCCATGACCCATGTGTGCCCTGCTCCATGACCCGTGTGTGCCCTGCTCCATGTCCCGTGTGTGCCCTGCTCCATGTCCCGTGTGTGCCCTGCTCCATGTCCCGTGTGTGCCCTGCTCCATGTCCCACGTGTGCCCTGCTCCATGTCCCACGTGTGCCCTGCTCCATGTCCCACGTGTGCCCTGCTCCACCCAGTGCCCTGCTCCATGTCCCATGTGTGCCCTGCTCCATGTCCCGTGTGTGCCCTGCTCCATGTCCCGTGTGTGCCCTGCTCCATGACCCATGTGTGCCCTGCTCCATGTCCCATGTGTGCCCTGCTCCATGTCCCATGTGTGCCCTGCTCCATGTCCCACGTGTGCCCTGCTCTATGACCCATGTGTGCCCTGCTCCATGTCCCGTGTGTGCCCTGCTCCATGTCCCATGTGTGCCCTGCTCCATGTCCCACGTGTGCCCTGCTCTATGACCCGTGTGTGCCCTGCTCCATGTCCCGTGTGTGCCCTGCTCCATGTCCCGTGTGTGCCCTGCTCCATGTCCCATGTGTGCCCTGCTCCATGTCCGTTCCCATGTGCCAGGTCACACCAAGCTTCCCAGCAGTGGGAATCTCATCTGGGAGGGTTTTATGCTCAGGGGGACAAACAAAAGCACTGTGCACAGGGGGGGATTCCCTGTGGGAAGAGAGGGAGGAGGAAGCAGCTCTGTGCCTCGGTTCCCCTTTTCCACCCTGGTGGTGGGATCACTGGGATCACTGGGATCACTGGGATCATTCACAATCCCAATGGGAGGTCAGCAGTGTCCGGATGCTCCCGTGCTGCCTCCATGCCGGTGTCCCCGGTGCCCTTCGCAGGCTCTCGCTGCACAATGGACTGCGCTGGTTTATGGAATAGCATTGGAACAGCAGCCCTGTGCTTCCCAGGTGAACCCCGAGCGCGGGGTTGTGCTGGGGGCTTCATGCAGGGGTTTAGGGGCTGAGAGATGGACCCTGAGGATCCTGCCCAGCCACTGGGATTGCAGAGTCTCCATCGAGCCTCAGCTCTGCGCTTCCCACCCCGTTCCTCGCACCAGAGCTGCCAACCCAGGGCTCAGCATCCCGGTGCCTTCGCCATGGGGAGGCCTCCCCTTGCCCTGGGTGCTGCTCTGTGCTCCTGGCCCTTTCCCATTCCCTGGCCGGGGAAGCTGCCGCATCCACAGCAGCACCTGCAGCCCCGTTCCAAGGGGGAGGAACTGAGCCCCAGTGGGAATCCTGGCGCGGTGGTGGAGCCTCAGGCAGTAGCACAGCAGTGAGTCAGTTCAGGGATGTGGCAGTGATTCAGCTCTGGAAACACCAACAGTTTACATGGAAGGAAGGGAGATAGGAGGGAGCCCAGCTCCGGTTTCCATACTGGGAGCAGGCAGAGACATTCCCAGCACTGGGACTGCCCCTGGACATTGCTCACCCTGGACTGACGGGGCTGCGAGGGATGGAGGGGCTGTGGCCCCCTTTAGACATGTTTGCACCAGTGGAGTTTCCTGTACAGATCTGCTTCACATCCCCATCCCCATCCCCGTCCCCATCCCCATCCCCATCCCCATCCCTATCTCCATCCCTATCCCCATCCCCATCCCCATCCCCATCTCCATCCCTATCCCCATCCCTATCCCCATCCCTATCCCCATCCCTATCCCCATCCCCATCCCCATCCCTATCCCCATCCCCATCCCCATCCCCATCCCTATCCCCATCCCTATCCCTATCTCCATCCCTATCCCATCCCCATCCCCATCTCTATCCCTATCTCCATCCCTATCCCCATCTCCATCCCTATCCCCATCCCCATCCCTATCCCATCCCCATCCCTATCCCCATCTCCATCCCTATCCCCATCCCTATCCCCATCCCTATCCCTATCCCCATCCCCATCCCTATCCCTATCCCCATCCCCATCCCTATCCCCATCCCTATCCCCATCTCCATCCCCATCCCCATCCCCATCCCCATCCCTATCTCCATCCCTATCCCTATCCCCATCCCCATCCCCATCCCCATCCCTATCCCCACCCCCATCCCCATCCCAGCTGTCTCAAGCCCTGTCTGGTTTGATTCCCAGGGGATGTGGCCTCATGCCCATAGCACCGTTGGTGGACCTTACGCACCGGAATAGCTCATGGAAGGATTTAGTCCTTTAGGAACTGCTCACCAGCTCACCCAGAGCCGAGCATCCTTTGGGGAACCGTGCTCCAGGACCATTTCTTTTCCCACTCAGGGTTCCCAGAGGCAGTGTGGGTTTATTGTGGGTACAGGATACACCAAACACCCCTAACAACGCATCCCGCAGGAAAAGCCACTTGTGGGAGCAGCCTGGACCATGCTGTGGGTGCAGGAGCTGCAGATCCCACCCTTTGAATGGGCCCTGAGCCTGGGGCTGAGCTCTTCCCTCTCCGGGCGCAGGGAACAATGGAGTTGCAGGAATGGGGATATCAGGGTGTGGGGTTTGGTTACAGAGGGCACAGCAGCATCGTTGTGCTTGGGACAGGGGCAGGGAGCCAGGGGGGGAAAGGATCTTGGAAAAGGGGC